GAGACGGCTGCCACAAATGAATCAAGTTTAGAGGAAGAGGTTCATTTCACTACTTTTCAAATTACTAAATCCAAATATTTTTTTACAGCAGGGCGAGTCTGTGATCACCGATGAAGGAGGGGAACCAGTTGAAGGACAAACTTCTCCTTTTGACAAAAAGAAGCATTTATCAATTAAGCCGGTATTCGAAAGCGCTGAAAAGGAAAAAGAGGATGTGGAGGTACACCTTCTACAATATAAAGGTCGCCGCTTCAGTCAAGTCCTCAGTTATCCCCTGATTTATTATAAAGATTTTCCATATCAGCAAACTTCTCAGGTTTTATTTCCCTACTGCACATCTTAAAAAAAAGTTAAGACCGCGATAGTTTCCTAGACATATGAAAAGGGAACAACTGAACACGTCCGTACCATTCCATCGACAATTTGCTCGTTGGTTTCACCGCCTTAAAAATGGCAAAGAGTTTCCCCTCTCCCAGCTGAACTGCCGTATAGAATGTTACGAACATGGCGTGCTCGAACATGATCTTACAACATGTCTGATTCTCTGCAATCCGCGCACTAATTCACCTCGCGCCTGTCGCGACGTCACAACATCGCGAACCTCGTAATCCTCGCATCCTCCTAACAACGCGCCGATGTTGCGAGGTGTTCGCACCGCGTCAGGCTCGCATGTTAAGAAATACGGCACAGTGCGAGATAGCTGGATCTGGTGCGAGCCACGCTCATCACATGTTGCAACCTTGATGTCGTAACATACAGGGAGTTTACTACCGCACCATATGTCCTGGTTTTCATTGCGCTCCCCTAGATTTTTATATCTGATTTGCTTGCATTGCAAAGTTTTCTTATCTAGCTTCAATCAGCAAACGAAAAAGAATGGCGTATAAGTTTTTCGTAAATATAGATTCTTAAGGGAAATCGGGAATCAAGTAAATGATAAAAATCATTGGCGCGGCTTTACGCAAAGAAACTGGCATTATGAAAATTCAAACGCAATTTTTGGATTTGATAAAGCGCAAATCTTCTCTGTCGTATAAATATTCGATATCACGTCTAGAAGTACAGAAATGAGGGAGCTAAAAGAGGTTTAAAGGTACTGCTCAACAAGCTTGATGTCTTTGACAAAAGAAAATGTAATTTCAAGCCCATTATTACTCAATAGTAGAAAAAGTAAGATGAGATATAGACTGAATAGCTGTATGTGGTAAAATTGCTCAATGTGCTTCTGTGTGATACGATATACACAATCAAAGAATTTATTAGATCAGACTTTTAGCAAGTCTCTCCAAAGGGGTAATCACTGCACATAAACCAAAAATGTTAAATATATCTTATCAGTTTGTAAATCATTTTTACTGAAGAGAACAGCTAAACTATCCTTTCCATCAAATTTTGCGGTTTCATATCATTTGCAGATTACATACGCTCATTTCTCGATCATATTTTAAGTTAGAGTGCCCTCGTATAATGAATACTAGATCTCAGTGACACTTGAACTCAAGTGAATGAGCGCCATTGTTTTCTTCTTCACAACGGTTTGAGGTGTTAATCACTTTTTGGCAGCTTATCTCTTTTCACACATAATTGACCAAAGAACATTCCAGGAGTATCCAACCTACTTCTCCGAATGGTCAGATTGGACGCCGTGCACGAAAGGTGGTGAACGCCAGATCCGTCGTCGTAAATGCTTAGACCTGCGTCGCTGTCTCGGTGCTTTGATGCAAGTTCGTAACTGTCCCGCTGTGCTACCGGAACCGGCTCGTGAGTTTTAATTTTACGTGATTTATTTTGGGCGGACTAGTTTTCATACAAACTTGACCTAGAATCCGGACCTGTTGAATCTGTCCGTTCTGTGATCGAAGTGCCCCGAATTCCAGAATACGACGACGCCGATGGTTTGTTGATCAAAAAAGTTTACCGGGTTTTTACAATTTGGACTAATATCTCCCCTAGGAAATCCCGAAGTTCGGCCGTCTACCGTTGTTCAACAAGCGGAATCTGTTTGGAGCCCGTGGTTAGGAGTGTGCCAGGTACATCAACCTGTTGTGACGAACTTATTCTCGACCGGCGCCTACTTTTCAATGTTTAAATGACATAGGCGGGCCTCCATACACAAACAGACTACCATGTACTTCAAACGCACTTCCAACGAGTTCGTATCCGACACCGTATTAGGTAGTACTAGGCATCACGAGCGCATGCATTTTTGGCTTACCTAGGACAGCGTTGTCTTTCCAGTAATGCCTTTTACTGACTTTACCTGTTTTTTCACGATAAGTCCATAACTAAGCAAATACTTACCATTGGCTGGGCATTGGCTTCCAATTATCAGAAATGGCTTGCAAGGTGTTATGCGAAACAGTTTCATTAGGAGCATTCAGTATTACAGTAGGCAGTAGGTTTGC